TAAGGCATACGTTGAGCGCACTGAAGCAGCCAAAGGCACCACCTTTTTGCCGATGATTGTGGGCGTCGTTACAGAGGCATTGCTTGGGCAGCCAGCGTAGAAACCATGTTGGATGGGTGCCGTAGTCACATTTTGCCCAGTCATTTTTTTTCCTTTCAGGTTTTGGTGCTCGAGTTGGACACGTACACTATGCATCAATATTTAAAACAAGGGCTGTAGCATCCCTCGCGACATGCCTGATAATGTTCGCCAGCAAGCATTTGGTGTGACGTCATGGGCGCATCATTCGAGAGTATGCGTGCAAGCAAGCACGCGCGGCTTCGACCTCTGGGAAAAAGAAGTTTTCAGTTTTAACATGTTTGTAAGCGAAACAAGAAACTTCAAGCGGACTAGGGATAAAAGCAATGCAGTGAAGCCAGCGCTGCCGCTGTCGGTGCACAATTCTGGTTGTGCATGAATGGACGTCGGAATCGCTTTGCTACTGTTTGCCCGGCTTTTGGCCAGAACTAAGTACGAGGTGTGAAAGAATGGATTTTAATTACGTGCAAATAAATTGCATCGCTTCTCGGCCTTTTGGCTAAGATCAAAGTGCCGTGGTGCGTCATGATCAGGCGCACCACGGCACGTCCGCGGTTCCTGCGGTAAAGACGCTGGATCTGCGTCACGTTGTCCACGTTGACGTCTCGAGCAGGGCGTCCCGGTGTTGGCGGTGGGAGGCGGACAATGCCACAGTGTAACGCCAAGGTGTAGCCACGGTGTAGTCGCGTCACGCCAAGTGCAACGCCACGGTGTAGTCACGGGCAGCGGCCGTGCGAAGGCCCGAGATTACCGAGTTGTGCCGCGCCTGAGACATGGCGCTATGCATCATGCAGTGGCATAGCACTGGCGGTAGCGTCTCCCTCGCGTAGCCGCAGACCCGGCAGCGCTGGTCTCGGTCAGGTGGGCCCCACATGACGGCGCCATTCAGGGGTACCAGGTTGAGGCACGCTCGGTGGATAAACCGCCAGTCGGCGAAGTGCGTGAATGCTCCAGTGATGATGAAGTGGGAGCTCGCACGATCCGATGAGACGCAGGCCATCACTTTCCCCTGGTTTGGCTGGTCGTGGAGGGCGTTGTCCCAAACGTGGGCCAGCACATCTCGTAGCGTCCGCATGATGCGGTTCCTTTGTGTTGAAGGAAGCGTTGCGTCGCCGCAGGTGATGGTGACGTGGTCCGGCCGCAGGGACCACGAGACTTGTAGCCTTCGGGATGCCTTACGGGCCTCGGTCCACACGCTGCGCAGCTGGGTTGCCGGCCTTGAGTGGACGATCTGTCGGTCGCCAGAGAGGTACGCCTCCAACTCAAAACGGGTAGCCTCCCATCCGAGGCGGGTGGAGGCGATCTCGTAAGCGTCGGACAGGGCGAGGTCCCGTAGTGACTGGTCTGATGTCGTCAGGAGCTTAAAAGCGGAGTCGATACGACAGATGTCGTATAACTCCGCTGCCACCGGTATCGCTGCAGCTCCTCCGGAGGCGCTCCCGTAGACGTAGTGTGTCGAGGCATTCACCGGTAGGTAGAGTGTGCGCTTGACCATGGGCCTGATGGCAAGGTCCAACCGGTGCCAGTCTGTTTTGGTCAGGGCGCCGCACCTCATGGAGAAGTTCAGGGCGGGGAACACAAATGTCTTGAGGGCGTCAATACGCTGCATGGGGCTCGTAGGGAGAAAAAATAGCCGTGGCGTTGCGAATGGCGTCGTCAATGACATTGGTCCCCGCTCGATGTGGAAGGCGGAAACCCAACGGGCGTGCAAGGTAGCGGAGCGGCTCGGAGTTGCTCAAAGCTGGGATCGGGACGCCGGAGACCCAGAAGACGGTTGGCAGCATTCCGACGGGGGTGACGCCGCTGAGGTGCAGGGTCGTACACTTGCTCGGGTTGAGGGATAGCCCGAGCGGTGTTGCCAGCGTCTCGACCATATCGATGCGTTGCTGAAGGAGGGCAGGACAGTCAGCCAGGGGCGTCAGGCTCATCGGCATAGGCGAGGATGTTGTGGTCGTCGCTTGTGCCTTGGACGCCTCGAACCACAGGGTCTATAACCAGGTTAAAGAGCAACCCGCTGAGCGGGCAGCCCTGGTGTAGACCCGAGCAGATGACGACCGGTTCCGTCGTGCCCTCTGCAGCAACGATGACAGTCTGGTTGTCACGGTAAAGGTCCTCGATGAGGGCGGTAAACGTCTCTCCAGCACCGGAACCACGGAGGGCGTCCAAGAGGGCTTGGTGAGGCACGGACCCGTAGGCGTTTGCGAAGTCCAGAAGGGCCGCGCAAAACTCCGTGCCACCAGCTCTGGCTGCGTCCATGCGGTGCTGGAAGATGTAATTGCAGTTCAAAAACGCCGTCATACGGGAGGAAACCTTTCTGGCACTTTGACAAGACCTGGTGATCCATGATCCAGGCTTGCAGGCGCGACGCAAGGCACTTGGCGTATAACTTTGAGGCAGTACTGCCGAGTGCAATGGGGCGCCAGTTGCCCGGGACAGAGGGATCACCTTTCTTGTATATTAGTACCGTACGTGACGTTCGCCATGAGTCCGGGGTGCGACGGTGGTGAACGCAGGCGTTGAAAAGGGCAGACAGGAAGCGGGCCTCCGGGTCGACGGACCTCCAGTGCTGGTACGTCAGTCTGTCAGGACCGGGAGCCGTGTTCTCGGACTTCCGGAGCAGGAGGAGAACCTTGTCTGCCGAGAACGACGCCGCGTTGACCGGAACAGGAGCCGCGGGTCATTGGAACAGCGCTGACGTGTCTTCCGTGCGAGGTGACCAGGTGGAGGCCCAATGGTCCTGGATGTCTCGCATAGGGATGGTACAGGACCGTGTGGGTCCCTCCATGATCAGGCGCACCACGGCACGTCGGCGGTTCCTGCGGTAAAGACGCTGGATCTGCGTCGCGTTGTCGGAGTTGACGTCTTGAGCAGGGCGTCCCGGTGTTGGCGGTGGGAGGCGGACAGCCTCCGCGTCCAGAGCAACAGCCCGGGACCACACCTGCTCACACGTCGCCCATGAGTCTGGCGTCCGGGCTGAGCGGAGCATGACTCGCAAGACGCGAACCTGCTCCGCAAGCAGCATGGTGTGGTTGGGTGGCATTTCCATATCGGTGCTTCGACAGGAGTGTCGTGTGCGCCGTTGTCGGCATCATCCGCACCAGTGTCCTCCAGCCGCTCGGAAGGAAAAGGGGATGAGGAGGAGCGGGAATTGGTCGACAGAGGGCGGTGGTCGACGACGGTGCCGGCAGCTGCGACACTCTGTTCGTCCACCGGCTCGTTGGCCGATGCGTCGTCGGAGTCGTCGGTACCAGGGACGTCGGCAAGCTCCGTGGACATCCGTGAGGAAGCCCTCGAAGCAGACGACGTGGAGCCTGGACCGGTACGGCGACGAGAAGACGAGCCGGGCGTGGATGAGACCTCGTCAGTCGTGGACTGGGGACCAGGATCTGGTGGCACGGACGGTGGCGTTCCGGTAACCGAAGGCGATTGCCGAGGCGTGGAAGAGCCGGAGCCAGAAGTGGGGGAAGAGTGGCCCGGCATAGTTGACGCCTCGGAGCTAGACACCGACGGAGAACCGGTTGCCGTACTGCTGGAGGCCGACCTAGTACTAGAGGATGGCGTCGGTGTGGAAGAATGGCCTCCACGACGTCTTCGAGACCGGGAAACGGTTGCTCGGGTCTCTAGTTCTGGTGCTGCTCGGCAAGTTGTACCGGAAAGAGCTGGGCCGGGGCGTGTTGTGGTCTCTATGCCAGAGGAACTGGAGGGAGTCGCCGTGGGCTGCCGTGGTGTGCGAAGAGGTACATAAGGAGTGGATTCCTCTTGCGCATGCCGTGCCATAGTATGCCGGGCCAAGGAGCGCTCGCAGTTGAAGTATCTCGGGCAATACCGGCACGGGTGGAACGGCTCGTTCGAGGCAGGACCCGGGCAGTCGTGGCGGGCGGACAGCGAATTCAACTGAGCATCACAGGCGACGCACCGGTAGAGGCGCCTCGTTGGCAGAACGCCGTGGTTCTGCTCCATGTGGAGACCGCCACGCGGACAGTCGGAGCGAGACTGAGGTGCGGGCTTGGCAGCCCGCGCAACAGGATAAGGACAACTAAGGCATCCCGCTACCGGCACGTACACTGTCATGATGCCCTGGTGAACGACGGGCGGTCGAGAGCGAGAAGGGCCCGACGCTGTCGCAGAAACGCCAGTAGACGCAGGGGTGCCAGGACGAGGCCGCTGGGTCGGTCGCGGCACCGGGGTGTTCAACCCCGAAGGGGGAGCGGGACGCCGCCGCCGGCTACCGGAACCCGGGACGAGCGGCTCGATGGACTTGACAGGTGGCCGGCGGGGGGTAGGCATGGCCAGGCAGGGACTCCTCCAGGTGGCAGGATCTCGTGGACGGACGTCCGGGCAGGAAGACCCGGGCGACGACGCCGACGGCGGCGAAGTGGCCACGATGACAAGGGTCCGTTGGTGTCACCAGCGGGCATTGGCGACCAGACCGGAAGCGGCAGGCAAGAAAGGCTTGAAGACTCTCACCGCTCCCGGAGGGCGTCTTCTCCCGCTGGCTGGACTGGAACGCTTTGTCGGTGGATGTCCACGTCCCCGTGGCTTGATGTCCGGGCCGGAAGGCGTGGACGACGACGACGGCGAGGTGGTCACGAGGGCCGAGCCCGTGGATGTCGCCAGCAGGCATTGACGACCGGGCCGGGAGTGGCAGGCAAGAAAAGGCTCGTGGACTCTTACCACTCCCGGAGGGCGTCTGCTCCTGCTGGTGGGCCTGCCGCGTCGGTATATGGTCGGAGACTCCTTCGATGGTACAGCAGGGCCGAGAAAGCAGGTGGACCCAGGTACAGCATAGCTCCGTGCGACCAGGAGGGGGACCTTCCAGGGCGGCCGGCTACCCGGGAGGGACCGTTCTCGTCTCCTGGCTGTAAAGATCAAAGTGGGAGATCCACCTGTACTACACAAAGGGAAATTTTATTAACGAGTCACACGTTGCCCTCCACCGAGGGGCTACAACACAAATGGACAATAGGCTCAGGGTCACAAGATAACATGAGAGGCACCGCGACATGGGTTGAAATCACGCAGTAGCAGCAAAGTACAATTTCCAGGTTACAGCCTTATACACCATTTCAAGGGGTGTTTACAATGCAAGATTAACATGTGCATTCATTTTTTTAAATATAAAGAAGCATGTGATCAAACACACAGTTGCCTACACATGTGTGGAGAAATTGCACAAACACAGTCTGTATTGTGGGTAAACAAAAAAATCTTGCTAAACACAGAAGGTTATACAGCCTCAAGGCATGAAGGGAACACACAATCAACAAAAGCGAAAATACTAGTTTAAAGGAGATGCGTGGGTTGTGGGGTCACCACCATACCGAGACAGTTTGGTGGAAGAAGGTTAGAAGGGGGTGATGCGGAGGCAGAGCTTGCCTTTTTGTAGTAGGAAGAACCTCGTGTGCCATCGGCGAAGAAATTTGTCCTCGCCGCTGGTGTCGAGATCCTCTGACAGGTAATGCCACAACATCAAGTGTATCTTGGCTACTGCGGGGAAGGCTGCCCGTACTGGTTTATGCCTTGCTTTGTCTAGGCAGCGCTGATTCCAGAGCACGAACAATGTGCACGCTACTACCAGTTTGGCGAATGCGCCTCTGTTCCTGGCGATGGCTGGAGGGGGGCGAATGTGAAACTCTCTCGCCACTATCCGCCACACCGGCTTAGCTGCGGGGCACTTGTGCAGGGCGTGTGTAAGGGTTTCTATGGAGGGACAATTGGGACAGCGGGCGGAAGGTACGATGCCCAGCCTGTGTAGGCGCTGGCGAGTTGGTAGGATGTCCCAATTCTTCCTCCACGTAGAAGTCTGCTACCGGTTTGGGCATTCTCCGCCCATCTCTGCGCGCGTTCTGTTGCCATTTTTGGGACTGCCTGCATTCTTCCTGCGTCAACTGGTGCCGCGCAATGTCCTCCGCGATGCGAGCGGGTGGGGTTTTGTCAATATCACATTCGGAGGCGTCTTTCTCAAGCATCCGCATAGTGTTTGCGGCGCCCTTGTAAAAGCTTGAGGGAGCTTCCGCAAGCGGAGTGAGGGGACGCTCCGCATTCAGGAAGGCAGCGTTTGTGCTGCACCAGTAGCGCATGATGTCCCTCCCTACGTATCCGGGTGTTTGGAACAATGCCCTAGCCGTTTTTAATGCCAGCACTTTGCTAGTAGTGGGCGGGTGTGATAATCCGAGGCCACCCTCGTCCGTCGAAAGGTGTAGGAGGGTGCGGCGTATGGGCGCGGGCTTGCCATCCCATAGGAAGGCGCCGATCATTTTCATCAGCCTTGTAGCTGTCCTGGCGGGCATCACGGCGACTCGACTGGCGTAATACGCAAAGGCGCAAATGGTGGTTGTCACTGCCAGGGCTTTTTCGCGCAAAGACATGCCTTTGGGGCTGAGGCGCTCTATTGCCACTTGTGCGCGTTCCAACGCTCGCTGCCAGGTTTTCTCCGCCACACCGCCACCAAAGAAGTAGATGCCCAGTACCTTGACGGTGTCCACTGCGCACAGCTCACCCAGGGCCTCTCGGGGGAAGGCGCCAAAGGCAATGGCCTTGCTTTTCTCCATGTTAAGGAGCGCGCCTGAGGCGTCCGCGTAGGGTGCGAACGTCTCCCAGAAAGCCTGT